CCCTGATTTTCAGCTTTGTACCGTCATTAGGCGGCATCGGGACCAGTTGATACGTGAAATTTATGAGGCTTCAGAAATAGAAAGGCTGGGCAGTGCATGTGTCAGCAGGCCTTCGATTGCGCTATCATTAAAAGAAATAGATTTCCTTCGGCACGTTAGCACACGTGCTGCTCATGGTGCGTTGTGAAGATGACTATGTGGTTGTTAGGTGGATTCTGTTTTGTTTGTTTTGTATTTTCTTTTCTGTTAGATACTGACCAAGTATATATTGTGCGGTTCTGGCAAATAAATTTTGTTGTAAGTTCAGTGCCGCTGTCTGTCTCCTTCTTTTTCTAGTCTCTCGTTATTGGCGCTGTTTTTTATGTGAATTTTTTACTCATTAAGATTACTTGTAACTGATAAAGCAAGGGTTAAGAAGTTCTCTCTTAAACTGTATGGCGCTGAGCTAAGTTCACACAAAGGTTGCAAAAGATAGTGTTACCTTGCCCCTTTTTGAAACACCATCTGACAAAGACCTGTTCAAGACTACATATTAGACCTACGACTGCTTAGTGGGAAAACAATTCTGAAAGAAAAAAATGCATAAAGATTTATACAGACTCTTGAAATATTAACTGTAAAGGCATAAAAAAACATGCTGTGAAGCTTAAGTTACAGATAAGCCTTCTGAAGGGTACAAAGCCTTGCTATTGTCAAGAACAGAGCCTCTATAAAGTTTTATCTGTGTTCACATAGTTACTTCTTCTAATGTAACAATGAAACAACACAGCCATAATGTAGCATTGTTTATGCTGTTTCTAAGAGCTTGAAATGTGAGAGGTTCAGATACAGCTTTTAAATGCGGAGAATTTCTTTGTCGCACGATGTCATGCTTCAGCTTCGGCGGTGGCGCCGTCCACACCCTTACTGTGCATGATCGCGCCTCGCTTCTTATGCCACATGCTCGCGTCTTGTGCCGGCCCAGGAAGACACCCATAAAACTGTCACTCCCATCTCCCTCTCTCGCCTCGCAAGGCTGACGCAGGTAGTGTCTGCTAGTTAAAAAAAAAAAACTGCTCGCACTGCACTATTTACTGGCCACCCCATATATGTAGGCACTGGATCGTGCATTAGGAATTCAGTCAAGGGCATCTACTTGGCTTACGCTTGACATTGAAGGCAACATTTCTTCTTCATTCAATAAATAAGAACCCTCCTAATTAAACGTTCCCCAGCTATACTAAATTACGAAACATTCATGCAATACCCCCACCACTCTGCGACACATTTACTCGAGTTCCCCCCATGGGAAGATTCAGGTGCCATCTTTTTTTTACATTTACAAGTTTTGCAGGCACATTGCTACTACATTGCCACATCATGTATTCTGTCACAATTTAAAAAAATGTCCGCACTTTACATCAGACAGCATTAAGGTCAATAAAAATATCTTATTTTTTTAGGTCCCGAAATCATGATATGATTATGAGAGACGCTATTCTGGAGGGCTCTGAAAATTAGCCTATGGATAATTTGCAGTTATTCTTGCCATATTTAAGATTACAACTCCGGCAATTTAAAGTGCTGTCAATAAAATGCTTTCGTAGGCTGGGAAAGCACTACCCGACTCTTTTTCCACTTCATTGACAATTAGCATGCACAATACTACTTGCTTATTAGTCATAAATAGGGCTCTTTGTTTTTTGAGACTTATTTTTCTTGAAGTTCGGAAGGTGTTTTTTGGAGTTTATTTTTTCTAAATCTTCAATTCTCCAAAATTCAGAGCTTCATTTCACATTACAAGTTGTTGCATTGCAATATTATTAATTTTGTTTCCAATAAAAATGCCTTCCTTGTTGCTAATAATACACTCAAATCTCAATAGAATGAACCTGGATATAACGAAATATTGCTTATGACAAAGTAAATGAAGAATAGTTTTGCAACAGACATAGTGTTAGGAATGTACCATTTTAAAGAATTTTTGGATATAACAAACCTATTTTCATATAAGATGGCACTTTGTATGATGCGGTTTGAGTGCACTGTTTCTCCATTTTTTCATATTTTTCTCAGTTCTTATTCATGTACCCTGTTAAGAGGAAACAGTCTTGAAATTTTAAAAAATTATTCGTTTGAATTGAATGAAACCTAATACACTTATTCAGTTTCTTCTACAGATTCAAATCTCCAAGTAGATTTTTGATAGCTGCATTCGAACAGAAGATAATAACATTCTATAATACGCAATCAGCATATTTCTTACGGGGGTTTTTGGCAATTTCACTATGTCAAACACAAAAACAAAGTATATATCCAGATTGCCAGAGAGCAGGTCTAGCCGATGATGCTAATTTCATTGTTTACAACAAACTTCAATTGTGAAATAAATGGATACAAACATGAGTGAAAAATGTCTGCCACATATTGTTTACAATCGTCAAGAATTACAATTTGGTGAACAAGATATAGAAGGAAATGAATAGCATCATCGGCCAGATCTATTCAATACGAACACATTGGTATCAAATTTGTTGTTGTTAGTCGATAACAAACATGTCAAAATGCCCCGTAAGGCTACATGTTATGTCTAAAAACATGAAGCTGAGAAAAATGCATTTGAAGTTTTAGTTTCCCATAAACTGACGTGGTATTGCAACATAACTTTAAAAATAACATCATTATGTAGCTTTGCTTTTCAAGAACAAGATAATGTCATATATGTTGCAACAATGTTGCAGGAACCATAAAAAATTTGCTGTATTAGCATTCATAGTGATTGAAAATAGTTAGAAAGCTGCTACCAATCACCTCACTATTGTATTTCGGCTAGTATGTGTACACTGTGCATAAAAATGACATGCCTATGTGGTCTGTGCTGTCACTATTTGCACCTAGGTCAAGGTCAGAAAAAAAAGGGGGGGGGGGGAAATAACATTATTTGAATTCTCAAAATGACATGCGCTTGAATCTACACTTTACAGCTGATCAGGGCTGTAGGCAGTGGCTTGAGCCTATTCACGAGCTTGTTTTTCGTGGCATTTCTGGCTGCATGGTCTTTGTTGCATATATATAAATGACATTGATGAATCTCCAGTCGCCTTCAGTGAAGCAAGTGGCTCATCGCACATGCCGCACCTTGAGCATGCCATCACGAGTTTCACACTAAAGCCTTCTTTTCTCAGGTCCTAAGACACTGTCGCCGAACACGGCACAAATCAAGTCCGAAAACTTAATGTACGATCAACGATTCCGTTCCACTGTCACTAGAATTCTCCTGTTCCATGTCGATGGCGAGAAGTTCAAAAATTTTCATTCCGTTTCAGACTTCACGCCAAGTGTTTTGTCACGTCCGCTACACTTGCTGCACGCTGGCTATTTACTTCAGCCGATACGAAAACGTTCTCAAAGCGTTCCGTGACAACACTTGAAGCTTGGGCCAACAAAATATACTCACTACATGTGCCAAGTTGGGTTTTCATACACAAATCACCAACCGACGATCCTAGACGCGTTCTGTGGCAGTACTCGAGGCATTTCTCAATTTAGAGAGCACTCGAGGCACGCCTTCAATCTAGTGGACTGCAGCGCTGTATTTGATGCGTAAACAGGCAATTTCATAATTATGATGAGTTCCGTGCTGGCATTCGAAGCGTCCATGTTCAGATGCAGCTGTGTATTCAATCCGTCAAGTGGTTATTGTGGGACATGCCTCGCGCAATTTCGTCACGCATTCCATAGTTGCCGTCGTTTCTTGCAGAATACGTGGCGTGTAGTTTTCTTCAGACGAATGTATTCCAACATTTGACCAGCTCAATAATCGCAGTATTTCAAATGTGGTAGCGATGTAGTGAACCTGAAGACCGTCGCGGAGCAGCCAAAAGGACAAGCCGAGCGAGTGTGCAATTGCAACGCGAAACTGGGCAAAAATATATATATATATATATATATATATGCGGCAGGCAAATAGGAGGCTAGCGTGCAGGGCGAGCACACGCTTTGACCAATCACGTGCACACACTTTTGGAAAGTGAGTGGTAGTGTCACTCTCCCTGCACCGACGCCATTTCCAAAATAGGGATAAGATGCACAAAGAAAGCAGTTTCCAAACAACACCAAGATCGCGGCGCCCGGTCAATGCGTTCAGAAGTTACGAGTGCATGAATGTCGAACATATTTACCCAATTTTCGGTCATTTCGCTTCCACTTAGACCTGTAAAATGCTGTTTTTTTTAATAATTCTTGATTGAATACAGCTTTCGAATTTGCCGGGAGATTATTAACTGTTTGAACTTCGTGATACTGCACTTCCTCAAAAATCCACTTTTTTGCGATTTTTCGCCATTTCATGACCCGCGTCTCCCCTTAATAAGGCTGTTCATTTCTACTGCCGTAACTCACCAAAGTATGTTTTTGGGGAAGTAGGAGCTAGTGAACCTGCTTCTTCGCTTTTTCTCCCAGCCGCCCTTATCTTCTTGATGGAAAACACATAATTATTACTATTATTATTTTCGATACTCCGAAATGTTAGGTCAAATGCTATCTAAACATGAAAACACGAGAACACAATAAATATATTTTTAGACGTCTGGAAGGTTTTAATGCACACACACATATATATGAAAGCAGAGATACTTGAATACAAAACACCTACACTAGTTTGTAATACAACCTTAAAGCTTGTTGTATTAGACGCAAGCATTCTTTACGAGGTTGCTGCCACTGATGAAGGTGTAATCCTTTCAACTGATAATTCTCAGCTTTGAAAATGCCCCTTGAATGTTGAAAAATGCTCTGAAAAACTCAGAACTGATAAGATAAATCCGAATTGTCAAAACCTATACCAGCAGGTGTTTATGAGTGTTATTCGATTTGTTTTCCCCCGATTGATACAAAAACAGGGAGCCCTAGTTAGAAAACATAATTGAAACTCTAGGTTGCTAGCGAGACACTCCATACAGTACTTTTTAGTGGTAAAACAGAATTCCTGCTACAAATGATTAGAGAAAAATAATACCAACCTGTCTTGTTCAGAAATGGCATCGGGGTACTTTTGAAAGCGTTGAAAAAACTCCGACTTCTCTGCTGGCTCTTCAAATGAAGATAGCCTTTCCAGTACATTTTTCTAAAAAAAGTGAAAATGACGTTACCTTTTTACAGTACTATACTGCATAGTGCAAGAAGGGGCACTGTATGAGAACCAGAGTCCACAGGCAGTCAAAAACCTTTCAATAATGACCCCTCCCCCCCAAGTAGGCATTAAAAATTTTTTCACTTTTACATGTATAGCTGTTATCTTAGACAAATTAGACTCACAATAAAAGTTCATTAGGTGACATCATAGTGACTCTTTGTGCACCAAGAGTTCTTGTATGACACAAAATGTGGGTGACTGAATCATACATGGATCATTTAATCCATAATCATTTTGCATGACAATTATACTTGACATACCTAGCGTTGCTAGGTATGTAATGCTAGATCACTAGCATTTTGCCGCACTTTTGTATGCTTTGTAACTTTAGGTCATAGGTGGTTTTCTTAATCCAACTTGTGTATGTTTTGCTTTGTACGAGTCGAAAAATTGTATAACTACTAGTACCTATACGAGGGGTCCAAAACACGCAGCCCATGAACTTTTCACTGGTGGCCCAGCGTAGACATGACTGTCTTTGTCGTATATATATATTTTTTCTTAATGGGAACTTCTTCAGTTGTACTAGAACATTCTTGTCGCTAAGTCCACACCGATTCTGAGTGTCAGAGAGAGAGAAAACCACATTTATCTTATCTCAAAGAGAAAGGGGCAACGATAAGAAGGTGAGAGAGGCCTCCTTTACTGTCGCTGCCCACTTCAAAACAGCCTCCCGATGTTTGGAGATGTAGCTGCACATGGTGACCTGCCACGGCTCCCCACAACATAGAACAGTACAAAGGTTAGGGGGAGGAGAGTGGCTTTTTACATTAGCACATAATGTGGCTTAGGCCTGCTTTGCTGGCAGGACAGAACTAAAGGCTGAGCAACGGCATATTTCTAGGTGCATTTTGGAACTAAAAGCAGGGGAGAGAAAACTTTGAGTTTGTAGTTTTTGCCACAGTACTTTGTCTGTGCATGACAACTTATGCATTGAATGTGGGAGGGTTCGATGACCTAGGCAGTGATGCCCACAAACACGGCGATATATAAGCAATCTGTCTTTGGAAGCTAATTTTGGAGGGAAACGGACCACACAAGTGCTAGAGCTTTCACTATCAAGCACAGGCTGGTCTAGGCGATAGTTCAGGCACCTCAACGTTCACTACCTTTACCTCGTAATAAGCATAGAATGAAGTGAAGATCCCTAATAGTATAGAGACTAATTTTAAACACTAATAATGGCCGGCATAAACAACATGTTACATACACCGATGCGAACAACTCTTTCACGTAGTGTTAAAGCCTGTCTACCAGGAAGCATGACAAACTGGTTTTTGATACTTTAAAATGCAACTAAAAAAATACAAATTCTGTTCAAATTCCCCCCCCAAAATGCTTGATTCAGTCAATTTATCATAGATTTTCCATTTCCGTTAGAATCCAATAATATATTACGGCTGGTTCCTTTAAATGGCTTGTCTGACTCTCTATCTTGTCTCAGTTCATTCCATTCATAATTTGCAGCTGGTAAATACTAACTGTATTAAATATCAAAATTTTACTAGTGGTACTCATTAGCATTTATATTAAAGTGAGTTGCACCCTCTCACCATAGTTTTCAGACTGTGGAGAAAAGGCACCACACTCCTTCACATAACATAGAAAATTAAATATTTGCTAGATTCCTTTGGCAATATGGTTGACTGGGTGAGTTAGTATTCTTCCTTTGGCATTATGTTTGCAGAGGTAGCAGGCATTTTAATATGAAAATAGACATTAATTGAGGTTGTAAGTATAGAAATTAGAGTAATTAGGTTTTTGACTAGAAAAGAATGCCTACTCTGTAAAATGGGAGATTTCAAGTCCTTCGGCGAAGAGCCCCTAGCTGCTTTGAAGTTTGTAAAAAGTGTACATTGCTAACTTTTACGGAGTGATGAAATTTTGACTGATCTCAGCAACAAAGCCACAACATCGAGAAGCATGAAGCCGATAAGCTTGTACGCAATAATATTTAATAGATAAAAGAGGTACATATACATACACTGCCTCTTTTACTTCAATCCAAGTTTTATACTCACTGCACATGACAGTGGCCAAAACAGTGACTGTCTGAGCTGTAACATAAAGCTGATGTGGGTGGCCATACTAAAGAAGCAAATGAATATTACTCAGAAGGCACTCAATGGCCGATGCTGCCACATGACTATTGCTGCACCTGAGGTTAAGGCACCGTAAAAGATCTATACAAACATGGAAACCGAAATGTGGCAAACAAACTCCATGGTGCTCACTTGTACCTCCAAATAATACACTACTTTTCAACGTACATTTGTACAGCTTTCGCAGCAGTTTGTTTATACATATATAAGCACTCATGTGCCTTCTAAGTACATTCATTACCTAAAAATTTATAACAAAGATGTGTAATACAATTAAGGTAGTGTAAAAATGAGCTCACCATGGACACAGCATGTGCAGTTTTCTTAAGTCTGATCCCTTCTTTCATCAGTTCTGTAATTTCTTCAAGCTATGAGAAAAATAAAATAGTAAGGTTGAAGATAACCTTTATAATGACATTTTGTTCACACAGAATGAAAATGGGGAAAAAGCACAGCATTTCACATAAACAATGTGTTACACAGTAATTTCACATCTATCACTGTCCACAGCCAGCTATCATATTAGTTTTGTGCAGGCTTTACAGAAAAATAAAATTGCATATAGGGTCATCTGTGCTGTGTGTGTTTACAGCTAGACGCAAGAAAAACCCAAGCCTCTGCAAACACTACAAAATCCACTTTCAATGATGCTGGTTTTAACAATATTGTCAGAAATAACCACGAGCAGCGACTGCACTGTGAACTTTTGTGTGTCTCTTATGGTAACAAAAAAAAAAAAAGGAAAAGAAAGGCTTTCTACAATGCTCTCGCAATGCATTATAGATCACAAAAATAAATCTGTGGCGGCAAGACAGCAGTGAATTCCAACTTCCTAAAGAGACCATTACTGCATGCTACACATAAAAGGGATGCCCAGTTTGTCCACTTGACAATGAGGCATAACAGGCAAAGCTGTACATCCGCTGTGTCACACACAAAGCGAGGTCAACTTTTCTTCAAGATAAAAAAGCTAACACAATCTATAGCAGGAAGAGGAAGGAAGAGTGAACCAGCAGCACTGCCATTATAGTAGGAGCAGTTCTTTGAGACTCTATCCCCACCCTTTTGTTTTTTCCATGTACCGTATTTACTCGCATAATGAACACACTCGCATGATAAACGCACCCCCAACTTCAGTAATCAAAATTTGGATTTTTTGCCTTGCGTAATTAACGCACCCTCTACATCAATCTCCTGCAGTCCCGTTAACTGACACCTGGCACCCCCTCACCCGTTGGATCTCTTATGCTTTTGATTACTTTGCCAACCACCATCAACCAACTTGACTCGCTCTCCCCCCCTTTCGCCTGTTGCCACGTGCCATGTTGCTTTTAATTCTTCTGTAATAAATATGTCCCCTACATTCATCTGCTGCAGTCCCGCTAACTGACACCTGGCGCCTCCTCACCTATCGGCTCTCTTCTGTTTTTTTTATTATTATTTTGCCGACCCCCCTCAACCACCTCGACTTGTTCCATTTCCCCTCGCCCGGTGCTGCGTGCCTATTGCTTTTCTTTCTACCTGTGCGTGGCACGTCCCCCTCCATCTTATCTACGCGCCACAGGGGGGGGGGGGGGAGGGGGGATGTAGAGGCATCTGGCATGAGCGAAAGTAACCAAGCTACCCAGCCAACTGACGTCGGTCACTTCCTGTGGACCCCCCCCCCCCCCCCTCCCTTCTTTTTTGGCCTACCTACTTTTTTTTTCTTCAAACTGTCCCTTAATTCCCCATTCCCACGTGAGTGCACGCTTTTGGGCGCCCCTTGAGATCACAAGCAGAAAGCACTGTTGCCGTTAAACGATTGCGAGAAAAGATAGTTGCTATAGCCTGCGTGGGCGGCCCGTGGACAGCTTGCAGAAGATAGCGCCATCTACCATTGAAGATGAGTAAAGTGCAACAAAGAAGCTGTTTCCAAACAGTGTAGGCGTATGTGAATTGCGAAAAGCTAAGCGACCTAACTTTTTTTTTTGCATTACCGCATTTTTCTTTACCCCGAAAAAGTTTTCATAAAATTTACCCTGCGTAATAAATGCACCCCCCAACTTTTCTCCAATTTTTCGATAAAAAAAGTGCATTCATTACGTGAGTAAATACGGTAACTTACAAATAAATCATTAAAATTACCAGTTATAACAAACACATCTTATGGGACTTGAATATTGTTAAAGATGGGGTCAACTGTAATGATGACATTACGTATTCTCCACTTCTAATTAGAGAATGATCAATTCCTAGCTTAGTTAAGTTGTTTCTAAGAAAAACCACACTCTGAAAGAAAAATTATGTAAATGTCACGTGCTGTTGAAATATACAGTACTCACGGATTAAAACAAGACTACTTAAGGCTAAGTAACACACATACTTTCATTTGCACCCTCTTTAGTTCTGGTAATATTCGCTAAATTTTGATTAAAATATGTAGACCATAGCCAATGTTATTTTCAGAGACCCAATTTATCAGGACATGGTGTGGTTATCTTGAGCAACAGCGCATAGAAGTTATTATAATAAAAAATTTAACGTTATGTTTGAATGTGGGACTACTGCAAATTAGTGCAATGCACTTGTTGTACAACGAAAGTGATGAAATGTTTTGAATTTTTTTTTTTACATGACTTCCACAATTGGGACTCCACCAGGTGCCATCAGAAGCAGACTGGGGCATACCTTCTCAGCACTGAGTTTTTTATACATAATTATGACATAAGCTCTTCAGTATCACATGTAGAACCCATAAATTGACATAACGCCATCTTGAGTACAATGCACAATACATCAGCGCAAATGAATGATGTAAAATTTGCCCATATGCAAGTAGTGCTCAACTTGGATGCTTCCATTGTTATACACAAGAAAGAATGCTTGATAACACTCTAAAAACACAGTCCTAGAATTGGTTTTGCAGGTGCACAACAGAAGCAGCAAAGTCCAGAACTCTGACACTACCTGAGACACAAGGCACAATACATTAGCATGGTGAGAAGTAAACACTTGCTAACGCAACATGCCACTGCTTGACATCAACACTCATGACAGCCTTTGCTGGTGCAACATGCAACTTACTGAAGTGCATACATTACCACTCTTGCAGAATTCATTTTATGCTACTTTCTACTCTTCCACTCTTGCTGTCGATTTGCAACTATGCTCTTAAAACTTTTCCTTAGGTTTTGTTTGAAAAAAAAAAGCATAGACCAGTATCCTATTCCTGATGATGTCAAACTAAGAATGTGATAGTAAGAATGGATCCACAAAGATTGTTTTTAGCAGCAGCAGGTTGTAGCAGAGGACTATGCAGCACCAAAAATAACAGACCTTTTTCAAGGAATCCCGGAAAGCCTGCCGGTGCACAAAGCAATATGGGCAAAGTGTGTGCGCCGAGCGAGGCGGCTGTTTTAGTGCGCACGCTGCCCATTGGTGCCGTGCGAGCACGAAACGAAACGAATGTGTCACCGCTTGTTGGACATAAGTAATATCCTAAGCAGCACTAGTAATATCCTAAACACTAAATATGTCCGAATGAACCTACATGTATCTCTAAGCATGAAATGTAGAAAGAATAACGCAGTCAGTGTATACATATCACCGGGCGGATGAGCTGAGCAGCACGCGAGTTGTTGCATACTACAGTATTGTGTACTGATACATGTAGTCAAAACGTGCTATCAGGAAAAATGTGAGGTGGGACACTGAATTCATATTTATTTACCAATTGACTGTTCACAAGGCACTATGGCATTTATACCTTCGCGGTGTGATTAGGCTGTTAACGGAAAACTGCGGAGCAGTATTAAGAAATGATTTGATTTTTATTGACTATTCACACACTGTAAAATAATATTATTATTAAAAAACACTGACCACATTCGAAACGTGTTTAAAGACGAAGAAATGGAACTAAAATCCACTTGTGAAGTACGCTGCTCAGATAATTTACGGTATCTGAATAAAAATCTTTGTCACTGTGGGGCATGTTTGCTGGCAGTATATTCTGCATTCAGCGAAATCGGCATTGAATTTTTTGTCGACACATTTAAATATTGTTGAACGAGAAACAATGACGTCATGCTTACTCCTGGCATTGAAGAAAAAATAAAAACAATAATACTTGTGCTTATTACTTATGCAATAGCTTCCAGCTGCAAATTTATCACTCCAAGGAGGCACAACAATCTACATATCATGTTGCATCGGTTTGTGAACCACTCATGCTCACTGGAAAAAAAAAAGAGAGAGAAAGAGAGAGAATACGGACATGATGATGATTAGAGTTTTGTGGCACAAGGGCCATGGGTGGCCAAAGAGCGCCATGTCTTTGATCTGATGTAAGCAATGACCAATGATTGTGATGGCAAGGTGTAATTCGGCTGTATAAAGGCCTAAAATTACGTTCTGTATAAAAGCGTAAAATATGTGTATAAAGTATAAAATTATGACTAATACGTGATTTGATGCATAGGTCTGGAATGAATTGCAAGTGACCATGGTATCTACAAGTGAGCGATTGTAAAATATCATGAATGCCTCCTCAACCCCTTTGCAACTAAAGGGTGAGAGGCAGGTGCTTTTCAGGGTAGCTACTGCAGCAACAACTTCTGCGGAGGGGTTATGCTACGGATTTCCCTTGTATTTGATGCTGAAGCTTTGAATTTCATCTAAAAATGCAAATAATGACTGATATTTAAAGTGGTTCTTTGCCAATGAACATCCCAGGATGAAGTGGAATGTGTTCATGATAAGCCAATAGAAAATGCTTTTTTCTAATAGAGCCTAATTCACTGCATTGGATGAGGACGTGGTTGACGGTGAGTGATTCACTTCATCTATCACACAAAGGTGGATCGCCACCGCACTAAAGGTAGGAATGTGTGCTGTGTGTATGTCCTGTGTGTAGCCTTGTAAGTGTAACTTCTGTGTGGCGTGATTTTGATACCGGCGCCCAATGACCAAGAAGCGGCTTGACGGCGCACAATTTATTTTCTGTGTGGCTATCCCATGTGCTTTACCAATAAGCTCTGAGCTTTCGTTTATTATATGGTTTTAGGTCAAGAGCAGGGATACCTATGGATGTATTAACAGCACTGTCAAGGACAGATGCGGCTAGCTGGTCCGCCATCACGTTACCTTAGATTTGGCAATGTCCTGGTACCCAGCACACTACAGCATGCTGTTTGGACTTGTACACTGCGCATAGTAGTGAATGAAGCGAGACAAGGACAAGGTTTTTGTGTTTTTTAAAAGTTTTCAAAACCTTTATGACGCTTAGGGAATCTGTATAAATTACTGCCTTTTGTAGTTTTGATTGTTTGATGTGTTTGACGGTCGCAAGTATCGCGCAGGCTTGTGCAGTGAAGATGGTCGTATCAGG